GTTCAGCTTAACCTCAAAAATTTCATAGCGTATAACCACCACCCGGTTTGTGCAATAAATTATTTCTTAAGTTGTGAATTACGCTGTAAATATCAAGTATTTTTTGTGAGGGCTAACTGTCACGTAGCTCCTACACAAGACTAGATAGACACAGTTTATGCTTCGGTGTATAAGCATGGAATTTTATTAAAAAAGAAACCAACAACGCACTACTGACATCAGCGAGATGTACATTTTTGGTCATTTAACAGTCAATACTTCGCTGCCGATTTCCTTAAAGATTAAGACTAGTTGAGAACGTATGTTATTTTAATTTTAATTCACATCGCGTGCTTCATTTTAGCGAATGAAAAAAAAAAAATGTTCAAATGGCATAATAAACGAAACCAAACTTGTAAAGCTTCAATAAAATGAAATTCAATTTAAAATCACTCCTTAACGATCTTATACAGACTGCACATGCATACAAGATAATATCATGTACTGCATGGTTGTCAGGTTTTAATCAGTATTTTTATTATTCAAATATAAAAAAAAGAATTACCTTTCAGCGTCATAAATTCTGCTTCATATTTCTTCAGTTTCTTCAAAGTAACCGAACAGGCTAACTTCATGACATAGCGCGATACTTCTTCATTTCGGCAACGTTTAGGCAAGTGCACCCGAAAGTATTTTAATATACTTTCGAAATCTAGTTGAAGTAGTTCCTTCTTGCACAACTGAAGGGACACACATTTTTCCCTAGTAACATTTTCTATGAAAACGATTACCAATTATAAGTATACACTTACCATTAACAACGCGAGGGCGACTTGGAATAATGTATCAAGTCCTTGCAAAAGGAATACGTCGAGAATATGGAAAACAAGATAAAGTGGAAACCTGGCTGTAAACAAAGTTAAAAACCATTGTGCAGCGAACATGTGGGTTTCTACACCACGATCGCAAAAGTGCTTGTAAAGTTCTGGCAGCTGATCCTAAAAGATTAATAATAATTGCAAGTAATATATAATTTATTCCCAATCGAATAAAATATATTACTAACCTCTATTAATCTACTAAGCTGGTAAAATCGCATGTGGAGATTATCAAAACTATCCTTGTACAAATCTCTTAGACCATAATCATACATTAATTTAACCAGTACACAGAAAGCTTGTTCCTCCGGCATCTACAAGAAATACCTAACGTTTTTCTTGTCATTAAATACCCTAATAAATCACTACTACAGATAGAAGCATATCCTTACGAATATAAACGCTGCTTGATAATTACTTACGTGAAGCAATAAACTAGCAACTAAAAAGCTAAGTCCCTGACAATATCCAACTTCTTCGTCATACACTGCATATGCTTTGCTTATTCTGTACAAAGAATCTTGTCCCAAACCACCTGTTTCTTTGAAAAAGTCATGGGCAGGAAATGTTCTGTTAATATCTCTTAAAATAACACTCTCACAACTGCTCTCCTATAGGTACAATATGACACCGTTATCATATAAAAATACATTTACTTTTTGGTGTTTTATTAACACTTACCTTAGTAATTAAAGTTCTATATCTATCCATCATTTCTTGTGAATTATCACAATTACTCAAACGTTGCCACACTTCCCCGCGTAAAGCTAAAAAAAAATGTTTTGTGAGTTTTATAAGAAGTTTTGGACGTTGTTCATTAACTTGCCAGCTGTCTAACACTTCAGCCCAACTAGCTAGCTCATCTGCAGAACAATCTTTTGATACTTCACCTGTACCACTTAACATTGGTTCATCTCCATCTATTAACGTAACGGCATAATCAGTGTGCTTTCTATTCCTTTTTTCCTTCAATACAATTAACAATTAAATTTTTTTTTTTTACCCGAATCTATTTCTTCTTTGGGTGTAAGTGTGTCAATGCTAGTTAAAGAAGGAGATCGAATCAACGATGCTAAATTAAGAGCAAGGTTTAATCTGTTCCTGTCTAGTTCTCCCGAAGTTTCTATACTTTGTACTTCATAGTGTACTTCTGATCCATCCACAGGTATTATCTAGATAGATAAAGACGATAATAATAAGTATACGTAGAATTAGTGATATTAAAATTAACAACAAATTATTTACTTTTTAAATGATATCTTACTTCTTTTGAATTAAGGTAAAATTGTTGTACAAGGTTGCGTTTATTAAAATACCAGAACCTTACATTTTGTGGAAATACTTTAACTAACGTTTCTATTACGAATCTAACGGGTTCCCGAATACCACGTATTACTAAATCAACAGCAACTGTCATGTAAATTTTTCCTTCTCTAGGTGTTTCAACATTAAGTGTTTCTAAGGCTGGATCTGCAGGATCCCAATGTCCACATATGTTGTAACATTGTTTATCCTGTATTAATGGACCAGCATTGACTTGCTAAAAATATTTATTGTTATTGTAATAGAAATCATCTTACTGCGCTATAAATATTTAATTTCTCAACGTTTAATTGTACCATTTCGAGCAGGCGCATATCGCTCTGCTTAACATTACGACCAGGACTGACAAGGACTCCGAAGCATCTTTCAACCTCAAGGGTAATTCCTCCTTCTTTACTGGACACTTGCTGGATATTTAAGCACACTTGTTTAGTAACACAGCTTCGAAGTTTGAAGCAATTTCTATCCTTAGGAACTGTACTGAAAGCACCCTTTCCATCTTCTTCCTTTATCTCCATTGTTACTTCAAAAATAAATACTCGAGAATTTGTTTTTTCACTGCCAATGTTAAAGCCATTGAAATCACTCCCTGTTAAAGAGCTAGTCATTGATCGCGGTATTCTATGAAAAGCTTTGGAAAAGCAAGTAGAAACTTGTCCCACCTATAATGGATTAATGTATTTGTATATTTTTCATAAAGCTTGGTACGATTTAATGAAAAATGCGTTAAACATACTGCTTCTGGTATATCGCATCGGAAAACATGACACTGATAAATGGCAGATTCCAATGTATCCCCATGTGACCATGTAAAAGCAAAACATGCTGCACATGGACCAGTACTTTCACCACGTGCATAAAACAAAATTCGTTGTACTTCATAATGGGCAATTGGATGCTGAGTAACAGCATCATACAAGCTGTCACAAAAAGACAATGGTACATCACTTAATACAAAAAAGCAACACTTTACTATGTTTGTTAATTATGCTTACACAACAGAGCCTTGTGAACTACTAGGAACAGAAACAGATACTTTAATTCCTAAATTAAGAGTTTGTTCTGCATTTAGTATGTTCATATTGCGTTGTATTTCACATTCTGATTTTGGTGCATTTATTGTTGCTGATCCCAAATACGTAACTCCATTAAAAATAGTACACTCTTGTTGAACATGGGCCAAGGAATTTACTTCTATAATATAACAAACGGTATTATATATTTTGAAATCTTATAAAGACAGACCTTTTATGAAAGATATGCATAAGCAACTGTAACTGATACCTTCATCAATATAATCTTCTGGCTTCATAATATCTTGCTTTTCAGATGTAACCATACAAGAACTTACTTCATAAAATGTACTCTGTCCAACTTTTTTAGATTTTTGTTGATTTTGTTGCACACTGTTTATAATTTTATAGTCATTACCTTCCATCTTTGAGTCTTCTGTTAATACCTGTTTTTTTTTTTTTTATGAATCACTCAGATAATTATTGATGTGCAATAAAGAAGATAATGCAGATTAAAGCCTTATCATTCATAAATAGGAATATATAGACAACAATATATACAAACCTCGCGAAGATTATTTTGAAGATCTTCAAAATTGCCGTTATTGGCAATTTTTAACATTGGTAGTTCAATTAATGTTTTTTGCTGTTTTCCGTTGCCTCTGTCATTTACAAATTCATATTCATCACTTGTCGCCACTGATTCCATTGATTTAACACTCATGCTATCCTCCATAACTATGTCTACAATATACCATAAAGAAACTATTATTTTGTCATAATGAACAGTAGCAATATATGATATATATAATTAAATATTAAATTAATTATAATTTCA